AAACTAGTAGGGTGTTTGTTATGACAAACCTTGCACTCACACCTGTTGGTGCACTGTCTCAACATGTGGCCTTCTCCAAAACATCCAAAACAGAGGCCTTTCTTCATTATAAAGTCTCTTCTTTCGTCCATGGTTCTCCGGGAAAAGTTTCGACAATCTTAAACAGTGTGATTTCCCTTATCACAGAATATACATTCATTTGATTTATCAACTGTTTGAACCGTAGTTGCTAACGACCTTTTCGAGGGTTGCGAACGAGAGTAATTATTCAACTTCCTGTAAGTATGATTACCATCTGGTTCAAAGACTACGACAGGATCATTTAATATTTCTGACTCCTCCATAACAAAGGTAGCGAAGTCTCGAAACAACGGGTAACATCCACGCTCTCTTTTGTTTCTAGCAATAAGACGATTCCACCTATGACCTAACAATTCTGGTAGTTTAGATACTAATCTCCCGTTCTCTCTCATGTCATCAAGTATATGGAGTTCTCGGATTTCAGTAGCACTCACAACACACTGTTGTAGAAAGTCAGCATATCTTCGTAAACCTGTTTTGTCCCTGGTTTGAATCTTTTGCCACGAATCAAGCTTTGATCTGAAGGCTTCCGCAATGACGAAGGGATTGCCAAATCTCTTTTCAAGAACACATTTTGCTTCATCAAATGCATTTTGTCTCCGTAGAAGAAAGAATCCACTCACTGCTTCCCTTGCCTGGCCTCCTAAATAACGTTTCAGGTAATGAATTTTCTCACCCTGTGGAATGCCTCCGATCAAGGTGGTGAATGACGATATCCAATCTGGGTATTGAAGTGGGTCTCCAGTAAAGACTTGGGGTTCAGCAGTAGGTAGACGGCTCATAGCAATTGTCCGGGCAAACATTTCTGCTGTCGACTCTGAAGATGGTAGGTGAGCTTGAGTGTCTGTGTTCATGTTCTTGGTGTATGGCGTTGAAGGAGCACATTTCTCAGGAGGTACGTTTTCCTTCTTTACAGTTGGACTTGTGAACAAGTGCTTAAGATCAGGCACTTTCTTTGACAGTTGAGATGTGCTGCAAATTGAATCAGAGTCATCTTCTTCATCGCTATACACTTTCAGTCTTGCTTCTTCTGCCTTCAACTCGGCAGCTAGTTTCTGTTCTTCTAATTCTCGTCTCAAATTAGACATTTTCCTTTCTGTTTGCAAACTTCTTTGTGTTTTTTTCAAACTCGATTTGTTCTATCATTTCTTGTTTCTTGTTAAGGAGTATTTGGGCCTCCAACTTAGTTTTCAAGGCAGCTGCCTCTGCTGCGGCTTCTCGACGTCGGTATGAACTGCTTGAAGCTTTGGAATATCTGGAGACTGAAGATGTTTTTGATCCCTCATGCTTGAGATGCAATCTTGACATGAGGTCTTTATTGTTGTGAAATACTATTTGAGCTTTATCAAGTTGATTGATGGCCTGTCTGGAGCTTTCAGAAATCTTGTCGAGAGCTTTTCCCCAACACTGTACTCTCTTCGCCGGGCAGGACACAAAGATGCTCTTCAACCACATCCTGCAATACCTTTAAGCAGTTTTCAATATCCAATTTGACTGCTGTCAATTTCTCTTCGTCTATAGTTGGCTCAGTTACAAGTTTCTGTGCATTATCTATAATGGTTATTAGATCAAAATGATTTTCCCAGAATTTACCTGTTAGTACACTTCTATACTGTATTGCTTTTTCTGTAAGTTTCCGTGTTCTTTCTGACCCCCGCAGTTGACTTGTCTCTTCCTCAGTTTGACTTTCAACGGGAATTCCACTCACTGGTGGCACTTCGTTGTTATGTAGGCTTATGTCTGTTGGTGTGATGGCTTCATCAGCCATATCTGAAAAGAGACTATTAAACTATATGGTTAAATTGAATCAAAATTGACTAAACACTAACTTAACAATCGATATGAAAAGGCAGATACGCTCACTATTTGGCTGGGAGTGTGGTAAACAAACAATTGCGACTACAACAGAAAAGCACAGAGCGCAAGGGTAAGCCAAGTACAGATATCAAGCCTGCTAATAGCACAGATCCTAAATATGACACTAAAATTACACCAAGTTCAACATATATTTGAATTATAAATACAGAGTATCCTCAGTATGCAGATTGAGTCTTATTCTATATCACAATTCTCATTGGCGGCGACACCTGAGAGCTATACTGAATTTAAGCAAGTAACTCAATGTCCAACACAGTTCAAGTTCGATAGTTAAATCAATGACATTCACTGTCTGTGTTGTGTACACAA